GGGCCATGCTTTCTGGGATTCCTCCAGTCTCAGTCAGACCATTAAGTCTGGTCTTCTTACTAGAATTTGAGTTCTGCACCCCACCTTTCTCCTGCTCCATCCAGGACTCTTTGTTGTGTTCCCTGTCAGGGCAGTCATTGGTAGTAGCTGGACAGCATCTAGTTCTTCTGGTTCCACATGTCTCTTGTTGTCCTTGGACTGGCAGCTACACATGACTTATTCTTCTCATGCTGAATTGCAAGTGTACAGGAGAATGAATGGAAACATGTGATGCCTCTCAAGTCTTCTGATCAAAACTAGCACACTGTCTCTTCCACCCACATTCTGTTGGCCCAAGCAAGTCATGTGGTCAAACCCAGCATAAATGGGACAAGGAAATAAACTCCACCAATTCTAGGGGGAGGTACTCTAAGTCACCTGAGAGTGGGCATAGATGTATTCTGACCCAGGGAGGAAGAGAAAAATTGGGAGCAATGGTCTGGTCTGATCTTCCTTAGTGTGTACCACTAATTCATTCAGGTGTGCTGCACTGATCCCCAACTCTAGCCAGACCGACTGTTCACTGGAGGCCCAAAGACACCCAATATTTAATGACCTCTGTACCTTTGTAGTGGTGCCTGGATGATGCAAATAGTTTGCACTTGACTAAACCCATTGCCATCAAGTCCACTCTGTCCTATAGTGTCACTATGAGTTGGAATTGACTCAGTGGCAATGGGTTTGCTTTGATTTTATAAGGATTAAATGAAAAGCATGCATGGAAAACCTTTGTGCAGAGTTTTCACAGGTAGTATATGTTATATCTTATTCTAAGTAGTAGTCTTCATGCCAAACATGTAAAATTAAAATAATTTTCTGAATCCTGTATAATTGTTGTTAGGTGCCATCCAGTCAATTTCAACTCATAACGACCCTATAGGGTTTTCTGGGCTGTAATCTTTACGGGAGCAGGTTGCCAGGTCATTCTTCCGCAGAGCTGCTGGGTAGGTTTGAACAGCAAACCTTTCAGTTAGCTGCTGAGCACTTAACCATTGCACCACCAGGGCTCCTTACATAATAATCACACTAATTCGCATTACACTGTTCTTTCAAATAACAAGTAAAAAAGTCTTGAAAAATGTATTAAAAGAAAAATCATTTTCAATAAGAATTATAGAAGGAATTGTTCTTGACTTATTTTCCTTATTTAACAAATCACCATTTTTATGCACTCTTTTTCTAAGAGATACTCTAATTCTGTAAATATTACTTGTCTTCAGTTTGCTTCCTAACTTTTTTTTTCCTTTCTCTTTTTTAAATAATATCTGATTGTGTTTAAAGTGAAATTTTACACAGCAAGTTAGGGTCCCATTTAACAATTTCTATACAAAGTGATATTGGTTATATTTTTCGCACTGTATCGTCAATCTCATTCATTCTGTTCTGGCTGTACCATTTCCAGTACTCTAATTTCCCTGCCCCTTACCTTCTCATCTTTGCTTTAGAGCAATTTTTTGACCATTTAGTCTCATATAGATAATCCTTAAAGGAGCTCATTACTCAGGGGCGATATTCTTTATTTTATGAGCTAATCTGTTATTTAGCTAAAAGGTGACCTCAAGGGATAATTTCAGTTTAAGATTTAAAGAATATCTTAGGATGATAGTCTCAGGGAGTCTTCTAGTCTCAACTGGTCCAGTAAGTCTGGACTTCTTAAGAATGTGAGTTCCGTTCCACAATTTTCTCCCATTTTGTCAGGATCCATCTATTGTGGTCCTGATCAGAACCTTCCAGAGTGGTGGATGAGCACCATCTAGTTTTTCTGGTCTCAGGGTAGATGCATGTCAGCTGTTAGTTCTGTAGACTTTCCTCTCTGAGTCTTTGGTTTCCATCTTTCTCTTTTGTTCCAGATAAGTAGAGACCAATAGTTGTATCTTAGATGGCCGCTTGCAAACTTTTAAGAACCCAGGCACTACTTACCACATTGGGATGTAGAATATACACTTTAGGAACTATATCATGCCAGTTACCTGAGTTGTCCCACAAGCCTATGGTCCTAAGCCTTCAAACTCAGAAAACCAATCTTGCGAGGTGTTTGGCTATGTCTAAGAAGTATCTGTAACTGTGTCCCCTATGTGGTTTATTGTATATATGGTTATACATGCATGCACACACATACCTGTATGTACATATGCCTGTAGATACATCTGTCTGTGCACACATATGTATCCACATATTCATTGTTTTTGTTTTGTTGTGTGCCATCAAGTTGATTCTGACTCATAGCAACCCTTATAGGACAGAATAGAACTACCCCCATAGGATTTTCAAGGAGCAGCTGATGGATTTGAACTGCCGACCTTTTGGTTAGCAGCCTGAGCTGTTAACCACTTTGCCACCCGGGCTCTGCCACATATTCATACCCATACATATATGTGCCTGTATACATATTTGTGTAACCATACACATGTATTTTGGTTGTTGTTACTGTTGTTGCAAAATTATCTTTGTCATATCGTTTACCAAAACCGTCCCTCTCGTGGACTTCTTAATGACATTATTTACCTTGGTCAGTCTGTGTGCACTTCACCCACATTCAGTGCTACCTTTCCTATCACCAGAAATAACAAGTGTCTACTGTGTCGAGAGTGCTCGTCCCTCTTTCCCTCCCCCCACCCATTCTTGGTAACCACCATTGAGCGTTGGTCTCTGTATTTATATCTATTCTTGTCTTCTTATAAAATTGCAGTCATACAATATTTGTCCTTTTGTGATTTATTTTACTCAGCATAATGTCCTCCAGATTCATCCACATTATAAGATGTTTTAAGGACTCATCATTATTCTTTATAGTTGTGTAATATTCCATTGTATGTATGTACCACATTTTGTTTTTGCATTCATTCATTGATAGGCACTTAGGTTGTTTCCATCTTTTTGCTATTGTAATGCTGTAGTAAATGGAGGTGTGCGTATGTCTGCCTGTGTCTCTTTTATTAGATCTCTAGGGTATATACCTAGGAGTGGGATTGCTGGATCATAAGGCATTTCTATTTCTAACTTTTTGAGGAAGTGCCATGCCATTTTCCATAGTGGTTGTACCATTTTGCAGTCCCACCAGCGATGGACAAGTGTTCCAATCTCCCCACATCCTCGCCAGCATTTGTTGTTTTCTGTGCTTCCTCACTTTCTATCTAGTATGCTCAGTTCTCAAACTTCAGTGTGCTACAAATATCATACAGGGAGCTTACTAGAATGCAGATTTCCAGGCCTTGCCCCAAAGATTCCAGTTCAGTAAGTTGGGAGCCCAGGAATATGCATTTTATCAAGCATCAAGACAGTCTGAGCATCACACTTTGAGAAACACTTCTATGGTCTAAATAAACATTTGTACCTAGATTCAGTGGGTGCCTTAACTTAAATGACTGTACTCCTGAGGTATGTTTTCTACATTTAACACATTTTTTAATGTATTATTTTACAAAACTCTTAAATTTTCATATGAAAGTCCTCAAAACTAGACTATGGCAGTGATCACTCATAACATTCACACTGTATATGGATCCCTCAGCTGTACTGATTATGTAAAAATTATCCCCTGAGTACTCATGATTTTTAGGTAACTTATGCATCTGATGTTTACTTTTAGCCATTTTACTGATATTCATTATTAACACGGTACTGATACTATAAAGCTAGCTTAAAGAGCACGCACCCATTGGACAGTGCTTTGAAATAATGGTCTTTTCTTACCTTTGTTTAGACTGGCTCTCTTTCCAGAAATGCCTTTTCTATTTCTGTCTGTCCTTAGGATTGCCAAGTAGCAAACTCTGTGCTGTGGTTGACCCTCACAGTGTTTTATAAAAAATAAAATTAGTTGCCATGAAAACATATGTCCACACAAAAACCTGCACATTCATGAATATATATAGCAGCTTTGTTCATAATTGCTAAAAATAGGAGGCAACCAAAATGTCCGTCAGTGGGTGAACAGATAAGCTGTGGTACATCATACAATGAAGTATTGTTCAGCAATGAAAAGAAGTGAGATATCAAGCTATGAAAAGACATGAGGAAACTTAAATCCCTATCACAAAGTGAAAGAAGCCAGTCTGAAAAAGCTACACTATGACTCCAACTTTATGACATTCTGGAAAAGGCAAGACTATAGAGACAGGGAGATCAGTGGTTGCCAAGAGTCGAATGAGAAGGGGCAGGGATAAATAGGTGAAGCACAGGACATTTTTAGGGCAATGAAACTATTTTGCAGGATACTGTAATGGTGGATAAATGACATTACGCATTTGTCAAAACCCATAGAACTGTTCAACACAGAGTGAACCCTAATGTGAACTGTGGACTTTAGTTACTAATAATGTATCAATATTGGTTCATCAATTGTAACAAATGTACCACACAAATGCAAGATGTAACAATAAGGGAAACAGTGGGGGGGCGGTATGTGAGAACCCTCTATACTTTCTGCACAATTTTTCTATAACTTAAAACTGCTCTAAAATATAAAATCTATTAAAAAAAAACAAAACAAAAAAACGAGTTGATAACATTTATAAAAACCCAGGTTTCAAGCTTCTGTTTGTAAGACAGGGTATCTGTTCCACAAGACCCTGGGCTCCTATGTGGCATCCATCATGTAATTCCCTTCTTAGAGGTGGGAGATGAATTTGACATTCCCTCCGCTCTCAGCCTCTTCCCAGTGCACTACACTCTCCCTGCTTCCATCACTTGGCACATATATTTTATACCATGAATTTAACAATTAAATGCCATCATATCCTTTGCTATTGTTTGCTAATATCTTCTAATTGATTGTGAACTGTCGGAGGGAGGGAATGTTTTGCTTCTGACTCTGATGCCACAGTAAGCATTCAGTAAGGCTAGTTGATACTATGCACTGTGGTTTCCTCCTTGTTTCCGCTTGTTTCCTGCTTGTGAATTCCTTGCTGTGTCTTGCATGGTAATAAACAGTTATTGATCTGATCTTTTAACATTTCATTTAGAATTTTTACTTGGATAACAAAGGAAAAAAAGAAGGCAAGGAAACAAATGAGAAAATGAATGCTAAGAACAAGGAATCCTTACTTGAGGTAAGCTTAATTTTGCAGAGTGGAAGAAAAGAGAAGGACATTAACTGTATCTATTTTAAGATTATCTGCTTCTGAGAACAGTGAGAAATTCTGAGACACAGTGGAATTTTAAGTTGGTATTTTAAAATCAAATTCTCACAAAATTTAGCTATTTAGATAATTAAGCTATTTCTTTGAGTCAGTTGTAAAAGATGGCTTTAGACAGTCTGTTTTGCTTTTCATGACGTGGCATAGTAGTTCATGACTAAAAGACGTGAATCTTCATACAACTCATCTCCTAACATTCCACATACTTTATTACCTAAGTGCTCCACTGAAGAAGTCAGACTTAAAGGTTTTCATATCTTCTTTAAAGAGAATTATAAATTGCTCTCCCAGCAGCCAGTTGTGGTAGGAAGGGCATGAGATTTGGAGGCAGAGCACCTGACAGGAGGTGTGGCTCTGCCCATTGTGGTTTGTTTGCTATTGGGCAAGTCTCCTCTGTGAGCCTCAGTTTCCTCATAGACACAATGGTGACAATAAAATTACCAATCATATTAAATTATTAAGGAGCCCTAGTGGCACAAATGGTTAAGCACTTGGCTACAAACTTAAAGGTTGGTGGGTCGAATCCACCCGGTGGTTCCATGGTTGAAAGATCTGCTTTCATCAAGATTACAGCCTAGAAAACCCTATGGAACATTTCTACTCTGTCACATGGGGTCGCCATGAGTCAAAATCGACTCGAGGACACCCAACAACAACAACATTGGATTATTACAGGGCTCCAGTGAGGTAACAAGACCACAGTGTGTTGATTACTATACTGTTATTATCACTTTGGGGGCATGTTCCAGCAGTTCATTTGACAGTTGATTTTTTGAAACTCCAGATGAGTCTTCACATAGTAACTATGCTAAAAATCGTGGCTCTGTTCCCAGCCCATCCTGCAGATTAAGATGAGTGCCAGGTGTTTCAGACTTACTAGAAAAGTAATAATTTTCCAATTTGCCAACTTATACTACTAACAGTTACAACAGTTAAAAACAAAAACAGATGCCACTGATTTGATTCTGACTGATAGCAACCCCATGTGTGTCAGAGTAGAACTGTGTTAACTGAGCTAACCTTCTGGTTAATAGCTGAGTGAGTGCTATTAACCCACCCAGGGACTCTGTAATGGTAATACCAAAAAACTCACTGCCGTCGAGTAGATTCCAACTCATAACGACCTTATAGGACAGAGTAGAACTGCTCCATAGGGTTTCCAAGGAGCAGCTGATGGATTCAAACTGCCATCCTTTTGGTTAGCAGCCATAGCTCTTAACCACCGCACCACCAGGGCTGCATAATTGTAATACCTCTAAAAAAAACCCATTGCTGTCAAGTCAATTCTGACTCATAGCTACCCTATAGGACAGAGTAGAACTGCCCCATAGGATTTCCAAGGAACGCCTGTTGGATTCGAACTGCCGACCTTTTTGGATAGCAGCTGTAGCTCCTAACCACTATGCCACCAGGGTTTCCATAATGGTGTTAACCCAAAAAAAACCCATTGCTGTTGAGTCCATTCTGACTTATAGCGACCCTATAGGACAGGTTAGAACTGCCCCATAGAGTTTCCAAGGGGCGCCTGGTGGATTCAAACTGCTGACCTTTTGGTTAGCAGCCATAGCTCTTAACCACTACGCCACCTATTAAATGCTTACTTTTACAATATACCGAGATTGTTCCCACAACCTTCCTAATGAAGTTGGGGCTATTATTCCTATTTTGCAAGTAAGGAAACTGAGACTTAGTGACTTGCCCATGATTACAGAGATAAGTGGTCAAGAAGCCTTGAACCTTGAAGACATCTCAGAAGCTGGGCGTCTTAACCACTGTGTTATTCTTCCCCCTTTATGGCAAATAGCACATCACTTAAACATAAGCATTCAATTACAGTTGTGGATAAAAATGACTTTTAGTTTAAAGGCTGGTTTTCCAGTTTGTTTAAATGTAAACAAAAATATATGTTTTATCTTTTGTGTATTTTATGTAATTGGAATCTCAATTGCAGGAAAGTTTCTGTGGGACGTCTGTCATTGTGCCAGAACTTGAAGGAGCTCTTTATTTGAAAGAAGATGGAAAGAAATCCTGGAAAAGGCGTTATTTTCTTTTAAGGGCTTCTGGGATTTATTATGTACCCAAAGGAAAGAGTAAGGTGAGAAGGAATTTAAAAAACAACAACAAAACATTTTAGCAAAAAGGCATTTCATGAAAGTGGAACTAAGAAATCCTCAGGTAGCAATTTAAATACACACTCTCTCCCTGTAGGATTCATTTTATTACAAAGTTTGTACAAATATGCTAGTAGGACAGAGTTACTTAAATCCTTTTGAGCTTTTCCATATTTCCCTCTTGCAGATAAACAGAATTTTATCTGTTTTAAAACCAGGTTTCCAAAATCATGGCAGAAGCATTTTCCTGGAGATTATTTCGTTACTTTTCGTATCTTATTTGGTGGATTTATACTCTCATTCTATAGTCATTATAGAAAAACTTCTTTTATTTGGAATCATGGAGGTATTAGTTCTTGGTAAGATATTCATTGAGATTTTAGCCCTTATACTCTAAACATTTAAATTGTTCTCAGAGGTGTACTATATGCATTTCCCTGCCTAATTTAGCAGAGCGTCTTGGACATTTCTTGATGATTTGGGATTATTGCTTCAAATCTGCACGTATGTATTAAGTTCTTCTTTGAAATGTAATTTAACTCTTTCACCATTAGCTTTTTCTAAGACCCTTCTTAGAGATTGGGGCATTTCCATCTTTTGTGCACCCTGGGTGGTGTAAATGCTTAAGCACTCCACTGCTAACCAGAAAGATGGTGGTTTGAACCCACCCAGAAGATAGGCCTGGTGATCTACTTCTGAAAGGTCACAGCCTTAGAAACCCTATGGAGCGGTTCTACTCTGCACAAATGGGATCACCATGAGTCAGAATCTACTCCAGGGCAACTGACAACAAGGATATGTCTCTTTTCTATGTCTGTGGTGAACTGAAGCGTTTTGCCTTCACTGCCAAATCCAGGGCATCACCAAACAGCACATTCATGAATTGCAGGCTTCCTCTGATAGGACTTGACTCACATTTGTGTGCAGGTGAAGTCATGGTGAATGCCAGTTCTGTTCCCACTAGGAGTACCCATTACCGTCAAGTTGATTTTGACTCATAGAGGACAGAGTGGAACTATTCCATAGGTTTTCCCAGGCTATAAATCTTTACGGAAGCAGACTGCCGTATCTTTCTCCCATGGAGTGGCTGGTGGATTTGAACCACCAGCCTTTCAGTTAGCAGCGAAGCATACTTAACCACTGTGCCACCAGGGCTCCCTGCACTGGAAGTAAGGCTCTGTTGTCCTCTGTTGGAAGGTAGAGGGGGCATTATGGGTGGTTTTTGGTCCAGGACAGCTACTGCTTCCATATAGCCTCTTTTACTCTGCTCTCAGTCTTAGAACTGATATATTCCCAACTGTATGTCTTCATTCCAGTCCCACTGGGGACATAACAGTTGACCCACAAGTAATTTTTTTTAATTTCAGAAATTTTTCTGTATCTTTGGCATTTAAACAGAAGTGAGGTATAAAAAGAAACCTATAGCAAACAACACACATGGTGATACAAATTAGAAATATTCACATTAGAGTTGAACGGGCATACTTTTTCTTACTGCTATCATTAATGTTGAGAGGAGAAACTAGACAGCAAGTCAAGAAAAATATTGGAAAAGAAAAGGCAGAAATTTTTATTGTTCACAACTCATACAATTGTCTACCAAACAGTGTAAAACACTCAACTGAAAAACTGTTAGGACCAAATAAATGACCAAAAAGAAATGGTTTTCCTATACACAAATAATATGCAAATTAAAATATAATGCAAAAGATCCCATTCATAGTACTACTACCTACCCATTGCTGTCAAGTCGATTCCGACTGATAGCGACCCTCTAGGACAGAGTAGAACTGCCCCATAGGGTTTCCAAGGAGCGGCTGGTGGATTTGAACTGCTGACCTTTTGGTTAGCAGCCTGAGTTCTTATCTCATTCATAATAGGAATGAAAAATGAAAAATACTTAACAATAAACTTAAATATTTAAAACGTTTATGACATAAAACATACAGTTTAATAAAGGAAGTGAAGTAGAGCTGAATAAATAGAAATGTACCATGTTTCTAGATGAAAAGATATAATTTCTCACCAAATTCCTCTATAAATTCAATTCAATCCTAATAAAAATTTCAATATGATTCATTTTAATGGAAGTTAACAGACTAAGTCTAAAATTCATGAGAAAGAGACGTTGTTCAATAATAGACAAAAAATTGTGAAGGACATTATGGTAGAACTCCTCCTCCCAGATGCCAAAATGTTCAATAAAAAAGGTAATTAAAATCATACAGAAGAACAGAGAGACATCTAATATAAGGGAAATTAAGAGAGGTATCAGTCTTAGTTATCTAGTGCTGCTATAACAGAAATATCGTTAAGTGTGTGGCTTTAACAAACAGTAATTTATTTTCTCACAGTTTAGGAGGCTAGAAGTCTGAATTCAGGACACCAGATCTAGGGGAAGACTTTCTCTCTCTGTTAGCTCTGGCGGAAGGTTCTTGTCTCTTTTTAAACTGTTCTCGGTTCCTTGGAAGTATCCATATGGCATCAGTCTTCCCCAGTCTGTCCTTGCTTGCTTCTGCGCTTAAACTGATCCTTTTATATGTCAAAAGTGATTGGCTTAAGACACACCCTACACTGATATGGCCTCATTAACATAACAAAGAAACCTATTTCCAGATGGGATTACATCCACATGTGTAGGGGTTAGTATGGAGTACACCTCAGCATAAAGAAAACAAAAATCCTCACAACTGGACCAATAAGCAACATTATAATAAATGTTGAAGTTGAAAAAATGTTGACGTTGTCAAGGATTTCATTTTACTTGGATCCGTAATCAACGCCTATGGAAGCAGCGATTAAGAAATCAAAAGACGCATTGCATTGGGCAAATCTGCTGCAAAAGACCTCTTTAAAGTGTTAAAAAGCAAAGATACCACCTTGAGGACTAAGGTGCACCTGACCCAAGCCATGGTATTTTCAGTCGCCTCATATGCATGCAAAAGCTGGACAATGAGTAAGGAAGACTGAAGAAGAATTGACGCCTTTGAATTATGGTGTTGGTGAAGAATATCGATGGCCATAAGAGCTAACAAATCTGTCTTGGAAGAAGTACAGCCAGAATGTTCCTTAGAAGCGAGGACGGAGAGACTTTGTCTCACTTACTTTGGACATGTTATCAGGAGGGACCAGTCCCTGGAGAAGGACATCATGCTTGGTAAAGTAGATCAGCGAAGAAGATGACCTTCAGTAAGATGGATTGATCCAGTGGCTGCAACAATGGGCTCACCCACAGCAACAACTGTGAGGATGGCGCAGGACCCTATAGGGTCACTATGCGTCTGAGCTGACTCAATGACACCTAACAGCAGCAACATGTTGTTGTGTGCCGTCGAGTCAATTCCGACTTATAACGACCCTCTAGGACAGAGCAGAACTGCCCCATAGGTTTCCAAGGCTGTAAATCTTTGCAGAAGCAGACTGCCACATCTTTCTCCCACGGAGAGGCTGGTGGGTTTGAACCGCTGACTGTTCGGGTGGCAGCCCAGTGCTTAACCATTGTGCCACTAGGGTTCCTTTCAGCAACATAGGGGTTAGAATTTACAACACAATTCAATCCATAACACCATTTAATAAAAGAGATTATTTTAAAGCAATGGGGAAAGAATGTGCTATTCAATAAATAGCGTTAAAATAATTGTATATCTATTTGGAAAAAATCATTTCCTACCTCATACCATGTTGCAAATTAAATCCTAGATTGATTAAATGTCTTTTTTAAAAAGAACATAAAATCTTAGAAGAAAATACAGGTTAATATTTTTTAATTTGGGGGTGGGGAAAGCCTTGTTAAGCAAGACTAAAAACTCAAAAATATAAAGGGAAGATTAACAGATTTGACTACCTAAAGTTGTTTTAATTCTTATGACAAATACCAAACAAGAAGACCAGCTTCAGAGTCAGAGGGTACATTTGCAACATGTATAACAAGTTAGGAATACCCATAAGATAAAGACTTCAACAAATAAATAAGAAAAAGATATGCACACTTAGAGAAAAACAGGCAAAGCTTATTAATTGAGAATTCACAAGAAAAAAAAATAGCAGTAGCCACTGATTTAAAAGTTGTTCTATCTTACTAGTCATCAGGGAAATATAAACTAAATAGTAAGATATTTCCTCCCATGAGACTGGTAAAGTTAACAATATTGATATTATCCAAAATTTGGTGAAGGTGGGTGAGAAAAACAGGCACAACAGGTGGGGGTGGAAACTGGTGCAGCCAGATTGGAGGACAAGTTAGCAAGATCTATACAAAGGTAAAAGCAACTGCTCCTTGAAATGGCAGTTCCATATTTGGCAGGCTATCCCACAAAAGTATTTGCTTATATGCACCATATTTTTTGCACAAATAACTACAGATATTAAAAACAATATTGCAAATACTTAAAAATATACCAAAAGATGGGAAAAAAAACTCTAAAGAGTCATCTATAGCAGAATGGTTAAATTGTTACACCTATACAAGGAAATGCTATGCAAGCATTAAATGAATGTCATGTGTCCATTCATATGGCCTGACATAGAAAGACCTTAAGACATTATGTTAAGGAAAAAGATCAAGGCATGGAACAATACTTATAGTAAAATCTCATTTGTGTTTAAAAAAATTATATACATTTAAATATATGTGTGTGTATATGTGTATGTGTGTGTCTACACATACATATGTATATAAATGTTCACCAAAAACATTTGAAGTACTACCAAACTGTAAACTATGGTACCCCTGGAGAAAAGAGTAGAATTAGGAAAAAGTGTGGTGAAGGAAGGTGTTCCCTTTTATTATATATATGTCTATACTGTTTTATTAAAAAATATATGACCAAACGGAACAACCAGAACCGAAGTATTGAGAATGTTTATGCCTTGTGAAGAATGGAACTAATGTCACTGAACAATCTGTGATAAAATTGTTCAATAGGAACCTGACTGCTGGGTAAACCTTCACCAAGAAGCCCTGGTGGCATAGTGGTTAAGAGCATGGCTGCTAACCAAAGGTCAGCTGTTCGAATCCACCAGCCACTCCTTGGAAACCCTATGGGGCAGTTCTACTCTACCCTATAGGGTTACTATGAGTGGGAATCTACTTGACGGCAGTGGGACCCAGAGTCTACATATATGTATGTATGTATGTAGATAGGTAGGTGTATGTGTATGTATATAATAAAAAGAACACATTTTACATACATAACAAATGTGTGTTTATTTTTGTAATTTAAACAATTAAGACCTTGAAAATGCAGGAGAAAATATTTTAAAAGGAAAAAATAGTACAACCACATATAAAGGAATAATTGTGCACCAAGGTATAGAAATTCTGCCCTTTTTGTTTATACACTAACTTGGTAAAGAATCATCGAATGCCAAGAACAAGAGTACTAGAACAAATTTGTAATTGAAGTGTGACCAAATATGTAGATCCGAGGCTTCAGTCTTCACAGTGCAGATTATACGCGGAGGAGAGATTTCTGTTGCCATAGCAACACAGCCAGCACTAAATAGAAAGCACAAAAGAACTCTTTCCTATCAGGAAGAAGTGCATGAAGTGTGTGCTAATTTACTGAGAATCAAATTTACCTTTCATTCTTCGTCTTGAGGGGGGTTTTTTTTGTTTTGTTTTGTTTTTTTTGGGGGGGGTAAATGCTCAATCACTAAATCTGTCACTGACTTCCAACAGCAAAAGCCAAAATGAAATTTCTCACTAGCTGGTCATGTTGTCTTGGCTGCATCAATAACGACGTCTCAAGGTCAGTTAGCTCTGACTCTGGGAATCACTGTGTGGTATAATTTTTCATTCCCTTTCTGGGCCTGTGGCACGCTGTCTTGCCTTGGTTGCACTCTTTTACCTCTTCACATACAGGCTTGGCTTTTAGAAAACTGTGTGTGGTAGAAGTTTAAAATAAATTACATAAAATTCAATAATTTTTCAACTAAAATGTAATGCTCAGCTGTGCCAGCAAGAACAACCTTGAAAAGTACTAGCCATCATCTCAGTTAACATTTTTTCCTTCTCTTTCAGACATCTCGAGATCTGGCATGTTTTATACAGTTTGAAAATGTCAATGTTTACTATGGGATTCAGTGTAAAATGAAATATAAAGCTCCCACTGACTACTGCTTTGTTCTAAAGGTATGTTGTAAGAAGTCCTTAATTTAGACTTGCAAGCAATTTGTGTTAGTGTTTCCTCTTAAGGAAAAAATGTAAAATATAGTTAACCACAAGTGTAAGATAATACAGTATTTGTTTTTAAACCAAAGTAGGGAAGGGAGAAACATCTGTACCAGTTCAGGTTGTTTCCCCTAATGCCTGCTATCTGAGCTGAAGACTTTAATCTCTCTGGAGTACTTTGTCACTTCTGAAAATAAAAGTGCTCCATTTTGAACAAATTTGATTTACAATTTTATTGATAAGACCAAGAAAAATTTTCAGTTCTTTTTTTTTTTTTTATTGGACTCTTATTCCAGTATAACAAGTATTTAGAAGTTAGGAACTTGCCAAGATTTCCTAGAAAAATAGATTTTTTAAATAACATTACTGGGTCTTGTTACTTTGTAAGATGTGTATTATCAAAAGGCAGTGTGTGTTATCAGATGTTTGCTAAGGTTTGCATTAGCACCATATCTTGGAAGGCTGATAAAAAAATCAAAATACCAAACTGTTGCCGTAGAGTTGATTCCAACTCATAGTGACCCTATAGGACAGAGTAGAACTGTCCCATAGGGTTTCCAGCGAGCACCTGGTGGATTCAAACTGTCGACCTTTTGGTTAGCAGCCGAGCTCTTAACCACTACACCACCAGGGGGAAGGCTGATGATAATGACTTTTATCTGCCAAATGTAACATTTGACTCCTATAAAGGAATTCAAGGAATTTATAGAGCTCATCTGTTCTGGCCATTCCATCACCTCAAAAACCATAAAATTCCTTCCCTTTCTCAGCCCCTTCAGTCATATCTCAAAGGTGCTGATTGTCTAATTATGTACGGCACAGTGCAAGGCCATGTACAGAATTTCCCCTTTCTGAGAGTCAGGGTTCATCATTTTCCATCTGGATGGAAGTTTGGGGAGCATGGTGATAATGAGACCCAGTTCCTGGGTGAGGTTTCTTTGTAGGTCCGACAGTAGCCCAGGAAGAAGCTCATTTCCCCAGGTTTCTCTGTCTGCTGTGAGACTCTGTGTGTGTGTGTGTGTGTGTGTGCGTGTGTGTGTGTGTATGCCCTAGCTCTTTCCATTAAGAATATTTGGGAGCATCAATGCCCAGTTTTCAAGCACATACACACACATGCTCTTTGACAAAGTCATCCCCTCTCCTGAGGATATGGTTCCAAGTCTATAGTATAGGTTTACATCATTTTCACAAATGAAGAACAACACTTACGTTTAAGTTGGTAGCAAACACATTCTTGGGCAAGGACCACATTCTTGAAGATTATCATGACCCACCATATTGTCTCAGAGACGACCACACTAGTGAGCTCTTGTCAGATCCCTGTTACTACAGGAGTTGGGTATCCACTGACCCAAACATATTCCCAAAGCCCTGATTGAACACAGGCAGCCTGGCCATTCCTCTCTATCACTCCCGTTTGTCTTCAAAATATACAATAGTTCAAAGGAAATGGCACTCTAGTAACTTTTCTTAGTGAAGAACAAAAGGTACAGGAGAAAAGTCTGATATGGCTCCCCAAAAGTAACTAAGAAATAATTTTTATGTGCATAATTATTACTGTATTTTTTAAATTAGAATCATAGATCTGTTTCAGTAGATGGGTTATTCTTATAATCACATATCTGATGAATTGAGGCTCTTTCTGTGTCTGCAGAGTTCTGGGTTTAAGACTGGTAAGTTTTTGTCTATGTTTGTTTGTTTTAGTCAAATACAATAACTGTGCCCAATTATCATATTTAATAATTTTGATGTCCAGGTAACCCCTCCCTGCCCACTTATTATTGCCTATCATTGTAATCACCAAATAACAATTGGTAAAAATTATTGGCTTCATCGAGGCTTCAGGATAACCTGTAGTTTCCATTGAGACATACATAAATAATGAAAAAGAGGAGACATACTCTTCTGTATGTCATATGTCTCCTCTTTCTCATTACTGAACATCCTCTTTTAGTTATTTTTTTATCAAAAAATAACCACGACTTCCAGGCAACATGGCAGTCTAGGCAGAAACACCACACCGTCCCTCCATAGCAAAGATCCGAAAAACTAAGCCAAGCAGAGAAAACAGCAATCCTGAAACCCTAAGGATCAAATGAAGAGATAAAGAACTCAGCCAAGCACCAAATAGAATGAGAAACTGACAGAGAACAGAGAGCAAGGAGAGATACATGCAGAGGTCCCCTATCAGCTAACGCAGCACAGATCCACCATCCTGGACTCCTATCAGAGACCAGTGAACAGGGGGTACAAGAAAGCAGCTTCACAGAGCTTCCAGCAGGAGACAGAACAACCGGTAACCAGCGATATACACTTTCCCACCCCCCACCCTTCTTCACACACACTCGGCCTCTTCTGCTTCCTGCGGCCACAGTCTTTTGGCTGGGAAGCACCAGCTGCTTGGATTCCACCTGCCAGCACTGGCTGACTCACTGAGTGCCATTTGTTGGCTGCTGGTTTTGCATTTTTCCACTTCTTCTGATTTCTTACTTACCTCTCACCACCTCCCCCTCCTTTCTCTCAAATACATGGCTCCATGTGTCATCTTTGCTTCTTCCTGAAAGGCTATGAAACTCCGCTCGAATGTGAAACTGCTTCCCAGTCCATGCTGCCACACTGGTGGGATTCCGGGGCTTTTGTTTGTTTGCTTGTTTGTTTTGAATTGTTTGTTTGTTTTCTTTTTCTTTTCTCCAATTGGGAGCCTGTTATAGCTGGGCAGTACTGTGTGGATTGGGACCTACCCCCTCAGTTTGTACAGACACGCAGAGGGTTCCCTGAGGGCATTTCTTTTTCATGTATTTTTGGGGGGTTTTCTTGATCTTTTTTTTTTTAATTTGTTTTGTTTTTTTTTCCCTCTTTTTCCCTTTTTGTCTTTATTACTCAGTTTATCATCTCTCTATACCTTCCTTCTCTTCCTGTCCCTGAGTACCTGGTGCTGAGTGACACCTTTATGCCTTCTAGCCAGGCAGTACTTCAATGCCTGGGAGCAACTTACCCAGACCTCATAACCACACCAGTGGGATCCCTGGGAGCTTTGCTCTTCTTTTTTTTTTTCTAATTTTTATTTATTCATTCTTTTCTTTTTCTTCCTTCTTCTCCTTTTTGTCTTTCTCCATTTCATAGTCTCTCATCTCTCCACTCCAACAGCAAGCTCCCCTAGCACTCTTTTCTGTTTGTTTGTATGTTTTTGAGTCCTGTTCCTCTCTCCTCTCTGTCCTCTCTCCTGTACCCATCTTGGCTCCACACATCACAATCTCCCCCTCCATCCTGCCTACCTGTACCGTGCGCATAACATCGCATCACCAAGCAGCACAGACACAGCCTACCAGAACCTGCCATGCACTGATTACCAGCCCACCCTGGTGGCCATAGTAAGTGCCACAAACAACCGATCCAAGCAACTCCTCTTCAGCTAGACCTGCCCTGCTATACCATATCTGAGCTACTGACCCTGCTACTTGGAGAAGGAGGCGAAAAGTATCATGCCTATAGACGAGCAAACAACAAAGAACACACAACCCGCCTACTCAGACATAGCCAAATAAAACAAAAAAACAGGAAGAAACAAACAAATCAACAATCAATAAACAAGAAAAATAACTACTGAATGCTCTGAGGACAGAAGACAGTATAGAAACATTTACAAAAACAGGACAGGATGGTTCCAATAGGCATCCAAAATAAAACACCAGATGACTTTCCAGTAGAAAAAAGGCACTAGAACTACCTGATAAAGAATTCAAATCTCTAATAATCAGAATTATTCAAAAGTTGAAGCAAAAAGCAGACAAAAATGAGGAAAAAATAGACAAATTCATGGAAAATACAGACAAAAAAATGGAAGAATTCAGGAAAATACTGAGGAACAAAATGCCAAAATAAATTCACAACTAGAAATCATACAAAAACGACAATTAGAAATCCAAAAGATAAACAAGATTTCAGAAATGGACAGTGTCATAGAAGGGCTGAGGAGCAGGTCTGAAACGGTGGAAGAGAGGATCAGTGAAATTGAAGACAAAAACTTGGACACAACTCTGTTTGAGGAAAACTCAGAAAAAAGAAAGAATAAAAATGAAGAGACCGTGGGAATTATGTGGGATACAATCAAAAGCAAAAATTTTCGAGCGATCAGAGTTCCAGAACAAGAGGAGAAAACAGAAAACACAGAGAAGATCATTGAAGAACTGCTGACAGAACCCTTGCCCAATATCATGAAAGATGAAAAGCTGGCCGTCCAAGAAGTTCAACAAACCCCATATAGGATAAACCCCAAAAGAAAATCAGCAAGGCATATCATAATCACACTCACCAAAACCAAAGACAAGCAAAGAATCCTGAGAGCAGCTCGTGAAAAACAAGAAGTCACATACAGAGGAGAAACAATAAGACTGAGCTCAG